GCACGGAAGACCCACACCAGCTATCCACTGGTTTAATACTGTCCCCCTTAACTATTTAAATATTTTTATCCTGCTTTATACTTAAAAACACTCCCCAAAATTCTAGCATTTTATTACAGTTAGTCTCTTTTTAGAATTTTGTGAGCTTTCTTGGGAATATGAGTATTGACTGAAGTGCAGCATGTCTTCATAATATAAGTGAATGAATACATTTGTTTTCTCCTTTATAAAAGCGATCTCTGATAGCATCCATCATCTATAGGAATAAATTCACCAATTAACTATGCCTTGCACTAAGAATAGATTTTTTTGTCTGTATCATGTACCTGAAATCACATGAAAGTACTCTCTTTGATCTCTGAAGCACTATAATGCTTTTACAGTTTATCATATACAAATTAATTATACAAACAGGCTTTGTAAAATATGAAGCTAAGAATACAGGATATCTTATCAGTGCTTAGTAATTGTCCAGAATATTGAAAAGGAAATTTAATCTGATTTTACTTAGACTTCAAAAGTTTCTTACCTACAATGGAGAATATGACAACCACAAAATCGAATATATTCCAACCAATAGTGAAATAATAGTAACGGAGTGCAATCAATTTCAGGAGACACTCGCCAGTAAAAATGACAACGAAAATCAAATTAATCCAAGATAAAAACTCTGCTACAGAAGAGTCTTGGTCAGCTGTTTCTACCATTTATCAGTGCTTAGTAATTGTCCAGAATATTGAAAAGGAAATTTAATCTGATTTTACTTAGACTTCAAAAGTTTCTTACCTACAATGGAGAATATGACAACCACAAAATCGAATATATTCCAACCAATAGTGAAATAATAGTAACGGAGTGCAATCAATTTCAGGAGACACTCGCCAGTAAAAATGACAACGAAAATCAAATTAATCCAATATAAAATCTCTTCTACAGAAGAGTCTTGGTCAGCTGTTTCTACCATCATAGTGACCATGTTCAGGCAGATAAGAACCATGATGCCGATGTCAAAGGCTTGTCTACTTACAAAATCAAAAACAAAGCCTTGTATTTCATTCTAAAAAAGGAAAAAAGAATGTGTTATTATTTCTTGAAGGTGTGGAAGCTATTGTTTTAGTAAGTTATTTTTTCCAGTTACTGATAAAAGGATGCATGTTTTCAATTAAACAAAGTATTTGCTTCTATGTATTTGTTTTACCCAGTTAAATAAATAGTATGCATTCTTACTGATGGCCTGGGTATAGGTTTTTGTGGTTTTTTGGATCCCAATTTTTTCATGGCATTATAATATTTTTTCTGTTCTTCTGTCATAAAAATATCTTGACCTCCTAAGTAAAGAAGTAAAAAAAAAAATGGTTACAACCATACTTTTACTCCGACAAGGACAAAGCTGTACAGTTAAAAAAGACTTTTTAGAAATCAGTCAACAATTTCCTGAGTCAACTAAGTGGTCACAGGATAAAAAGGGAAGTCTTCTCATGAACTACTAGTAACCAGTTAAAACAAAGTTATAAAAGATTCTCAAAATGAAGGAATGTGGAACAGTAGAATTTTTCAAGAATTTGTATTGCAACAAGTGGTTTTAATGTATTCATAAAATGTTCTAGAGATAGGATAGAATACAGAACTGGCAAAAGGTACTTTAATGGTACATTATTCAGAGTAGATAGAATAATAATGGATAGCAATGAGCTCCAAAAAATGTTTCCAAACTGATGTAATGGAATTAAAATGGCACATATAATTCAATGCATACTCATAGAAAATGATTATCTGGGGGCCAAAAATCCAATATATGTTGATGGAGTATTTGCTGGCAATGTCAACTGGATAAGGACTGCTATATGTAGTAGTTGGCTTGATGAAAGCATTAGGATCCAGCTGCCGTGTAGCAAGCAAATTCAACATTGGGATCTTTAGTTGTTGATTTATCTTAATCTGTTATGGTATGATTTACGATTATATTGTTAAGCTACTATTGTAAAACTACTTTCATCTGAGGATTTTGTATAAATCTTAAGGCATCTTATTTTGTTGAATAAGAGGGCTATATTCCAAAATACAGTTAAGAATTTTAAAAAATGAATATTTTAAAAATAGTAGTCAGACTCTTGAGTTCTTTTAGTCATTTAATGGACTGTATGTAAAAGAGTAAGGAAGATGAGAGAAATGGAGCTCTCTAAAAATCTTGAAAAGTACTTGTCCTAGATTCCCACTTGTCCCTAAGGTAGAATAATTTTTTGATTTCATTACAAATACTTGTGAAAAAGATTCACTAGAATATTGTATTTTTCCCATTTAATATTCTAAAATGTTAGCTACAAAAGATAAATTAAATAAGTAGCAACAGATAACGGTGAGTAATGATTCTTCCATTACAGCAATTATGCTATGTTTACTGTAGAGCCTTCTCAATGTTGTAGGACTGAGT